GAAATGCATGAATTCCTTTGGCCTAATGGAGAAGCAGGACCCAAGGAAATAGGAATGCCAGTGTGGCTATATTGTGTATGACCCATTCACCCGTCCCCTAACTCGGTTCCCTGAGAGGGGCCGGAAAGATGCTCCTTTCATCAAGGCATTAAGAAATCTACTGGTGAGGGAAATGCCACCATCTCTCAGAAGTATTGTTATGGTTGGTTCATGTACACAAGGGATGCTGTTGAGAGCTGCCAGAGTTCAAAAGACTCCCTCACATTTGCCAGGATTCCAGGTGCCAGAGGTCAGTGGTGGCACAACCACTGGGAGAGGCAAGGTCATCTCAGTGGAAGGCATGCTAACTGTCACCATTCTCAAGGCCAGTCTGGAAATCAGAATTGTCTGCACATCAGATATCTTAGGCAGAAACTAGTTGATCATGAGCCCTAGCACCAAAATAGATGGGTGGTTCTCTGTGGCCTTATATAATCCATATAACAGAAGCAAACCAAAATGCTCCAGATCTGACAAGTCCTCAACAGACAGCTTGTATCCCTATGCAATTCTTAGGCCTGACCTTGAATGCTACAGGAGTAGTAGCTTCCTACCACGTCTACATTTAACTGTCCAGTTGATGTAGAAGATGGACAGGTCTTGGAGAGTGACAGTGGTTAACATAAGCTTATAAGGTGGTAACTTTGTACAACAAATCCACACAGCCCATGGAGGAAATGCTCTTTCTCATTTCCTATTAAGCAAAGAACTCCACATGCAGCGTTGTCTCATCTGGCAAGGACGGCTGCCCATCTCGTTTCAGAGTTATATCAACTCTGATTCCATGCTACAATTTGGTCTATCGAAGTTGTAATCATCTCACCATTCTCGAGGACATCACAGTGACCACAGTGACTACTACATTGATGATATTGTGCTTGAGGACCTAAAGAGCACGCATCCTAGTTATTCTAGATATGTTAATAAGAAACATGCACATCATAGTGTGGGATCTAAGTTTCATGAGCCTCCAGGGTCCTGTGACCTTAGGAGACAATTTGAGAGAGTCTAGCGATCTAGGTAGGTTAAGATAGCTTCTCCAAAGCAAAGGAGGAGCTGTTGTACCTCACACAACCTCCCACAGGAAAAAGAGAGACAATGCTTCAAAGTTTCCTGTGGAAGCAACATTTGTCACATTAGGTGTGCTTCTCTGATCCACTTACTGGGTGACTCAGAGGGAGCTAATTTTGAGGAATGGCCCAGAGACAGAGAAGACTGTCCATCTTGTTTGGGGCACAGTGCAGTCTGCTCTGTCACCTTTGGCTCAGTGGATCCAATGGTGCTCTGAGCGTCAATGGTGATTGGAAGCATGTGTGGGACTTGTGACAAGCCCTATTAGGAGAATCACAGTGTCAACGCTCAGTGTTTTGGGAAAAAACCCCTGGCTTCTTTCTCAAGTGACTCTTTTCCTTTTGAGCAAAGTATTTGGCTTGTTCCTGGGCCATGGAAGAAGCCGAATGCCTCTCAAGAAAGTCCGTTTGCCATGCAGTTTGAGCTGCCCGTCTGGAGCCTGCTGTTATTTTGATCCGTCAAGACATCAAGTTAGGTCACCAAAAGACCCAGTGACACTAGAGACTCTCAATGTTCAAGATGACAGGTTAACTTGTCCCGTGGGTGTTAAGTCAGCGTCTCTCCCCAGCTAACCCATTGCTTATTCAGTGAGTCGTGGACACATGGACCACGTAGGTATAGACTGAAATTATCTAGGTTTCTAACAACTTAGACTTCCCCTGCCAAGGCCAATCTAGCTTCTTTCCTGCATCACAAACCAACTGTGAGTGTTCTGAAAGGTACCAAAGTCAGAGGAGGTCCTACACAGCCACCTGGAAGCCGAGTACACAGACTTCTTTACTCATGGAGGGGATCAGTGATTTGTCTTCACGGGAATAGACAATGCTTCTGAACTTGGATTTACTGCCTTTGCCCACCATGCCTGTGCTGTCCTGCTCAGGCTTTCTGAGCACTCGTCATCATGGTACTCCAAAAAAAATGAACATACACAGATCCCTCAGATGTGAGGATTATTTCCGGATTAGCTGAGATGGTTAATAAAAGAAAATGAAGATTTTATAACATGCATTTAAGAGAGGAGTCCTAGGGGTACCTGGGTGGCTCAGTCAGTTAATCGGCTGCATATAGCTCAGGGCATGATTCCAGGGTCCTGGGATTGAGCCCTGCATCGGGCTCCCTGCTCAGCAGAGAGCTTGCCTCTCCCTCTCTGTCTGCCTGCTGCTCTGCCTACTTGTGCTCTATCTCTCTGTCAAATAAATAAAATCTTTTAAAAAAAAGAGAGGAGTCCTAAATTGATATAGTTTTATAACACTTATAGTCTTGTGACCACTTGCAAAAATAAGGTCTCTAACTTCTACTTATGTTTTCTTTCTTGCTGTGTCATATGTATATTTATGTGTATTTTAACTAATTCCTTTTTTACTTTTTCTTCTGTTTATATAGGATAAGTTAGTAATAGATAATCTAGAAGATCAGAATATTGAGACGGGGTCGTGGCAGAATTAAAGGAGGAATGACTATAACCCACGGGTCCTGGACTTCAAGCTGGACACAGAAAATGATCCTTCAGTGTGACCCCTTTGTGGGGAGGAGTGAAGGTATTTTGCAAGTGTACAAAGTATGTTGCATTATATTAAGAGGAAGCATTTTCAGTGGTTTTTATTTCCAGATATGTCAGAATAGTAAAAAACACATTTGATGCTGGTAAAGACGGCTAGTTCCTTCCCAAATGGAGTCTCCTCTTTGTCCATAATAACAGAACTTTGACTTTTAGCCATATGGAATAAAAACTACATTTCCTAATCTCTCTTGCAGTTGTCTCATTAGGGTAACTAAGTTCTAACAATGAGTTGAAAGTAGATGCTTTCTGTGGTATTTCTGGGAAGGCTGGCTCCATAAACAGGAAGGGACAAGTGCCTGCTAGTTCTCTCCTGTCTTTCCTAATGCCAGCCCTGGAGGTGGATGTAATGGTTGGAGAGGCAGCAGCCATCTTGGATCGTAAGGTAGTGTTTTGAATAGAGGTTTTACAGATGAGGAAAAGTATCACAGCCCGAGACTCTGATGACAAATTACATTCTTTCAGCATAAGAAAACATAAACAGATATTTTTTTGAATGCCCAGGCAAGCACAGGGAAGACACTGGTAAACAAGGCATAGTTTCTAGCCTAAGGAAACTTACAAACAAGTCCAGCGGCAGGCCAATTATGCAAGGTTGCTTGGTGAGCACATAGGTGCTCTGACCTAATCCTGAGCAGATGGTGGGCGGTGAAGTCTGGGAAAACTTTATGGAGGAAGCAACCTCCTTATAAATGAATAGTATTTGGCCAGTTGTTGGAGGAAGGGGTGGAAAGAATTTTCCAGGTGTAGGGGAGTTAAGGGGTGTTTAATACTCTGTAACACCTCTTAAGAGAGACAAGTCAGGGAGGTGAGCTAGGGTAGGAATGTGGACTGTATTCTCCAGAAGATGAGGGGCAAGCAAAAGGAATTAAGCGTGGAAATGACAAAGAAAAGAAAAAAGATCACTCCAACTGCCCTGTGCAGAAGGGACCAAGGTCAGAGGTGGGGGCACTGTTTTCTCTCCGCGATGGAAAGAGAAAGAGGAAGGAGAAAAGGAGCTTGACACCAAAGGCACACTTGGCCTTGACAAAGCACCTGAAATGGATTGGCAAAGTGTAAACACTAATTTGGAGGAAACATAGAGCTGGATCCAGGGTCCACGGGGCCGGTTCAGAAAAAAATATACAATTAGGCACGAAGCTGACTATAAAGATGAAAAAAGGAGTCACAAGGAATTACCGGAGCCTTGCAGACAGGGCCTCTTTCCTCTGTCCAGACTCCCTTCCAGAGGTCAGCCTGGCATCCCTTCTCTACCCCGGGCACTCCCCAACTCCAAGCCCCGCAGACGTCCTGGGGCGTCCAGCAAGTCAAGTTTTCCGTCTGGGAGGAGCGACCCTCTCCGGGGTGGCAAAAGAGCGGCCGTGGGGTCTGGCTGGCCGGGCTGGCTTGGAGCAGGAGCCCGTGAGCGCAAAGCGGTCGCGCTTCACCCGGAGTCCTGCGGCCTCAGGGGCTCCAGCCCAGCGCTCGCCGCACTATCGCGCTGCCGGGAGGGGTGCAGCTGGCACGGCGGGTCTCCGGGGAGGACTGCCCTGTCCCCCCGTAGACGGAGCCGGAGCCCCAGGAACCAGTTCGCTCGCTCCGGCGTGCGCGACCCCACAAACACGGGCTTTCGTGCAGGGCACTTCTGGATTTAGAGTCCGCGGAAAAACGCCGGCCCTTCACAGCCGGTTTTACTTTTAAT